GTGGGGTGCAGCCGCCCCCGTAGCCACCGGGCCGGGCACAGCAGCTGCGCGCCGGGCAGCCCTGCTAGCGGGTGCTGGCAGAGCACCCATGGCCCGGCGCGGAGCAGCACAGGCGCTGCCGGGGCAAACCCTCTTCGGCTTCTTCCCTACAGAGCGCTGAGCCCGCAGAAGGAGAAGCGCCGGGGCTCCCCTTCCCCGCGGTTGCCTTCTCCTGGGAGCCTCTCGCTGCCTCGTGGGCTTCATCTTTGGCAGCAGCTGACGAGCGGATCTGTGCTGTCCATCTGGTGCAGTCTCAGTTTTGCTGCTAGGAGCTGGCTTGGCTGCTTAGATACACTGTAAGATCATGCCAGAGCACCAAGATGGAGAAAAACAAATAGCTCCCTGGCAGAAAAACGTGACAGGGAGGGCCAGTTTGTGCATCACATCCAAAAAAAGCCTCCATGCCCTAAGGGATACCATCCCTCAGCAACACACTGTAAAGCGCCGTCTCTCTCAGCCCCCAGAGCACTCACCACCGTTTGGCACTTGTTTGTGCATTTAGCTATACTTCTCCATAGCAACCACCGAGATCCCAGCATGGCTTGCCAGGAGCAGGGTGTGCAGAGTGCGTCGCACGCGCTGCTGTCGGAGTCCTGTCAGTAGGTGAACTGGCTGGGTGCTGACTCCCTGTCTGCTCTCCTGAGGCCGGGACCTACACTGCTGGTATGGCACGATTCCTGCGACAGAGGGCCTGAACCTGCACAGGGAGCTGGGTGCTCTCTTCCCCACAGGTACAGATGCTTGTATACAGCTTGGTGGAGCTGAAGAATGTATGCCAACCCCTGCCACAGGGCTCTAGATGTTGTCCTCTGACTCAGAATTTCTGCTGTTCTTGGCTGCCAAGACAGGTTTTGAGCATTTTTCATCATCCCAATCCCTCCTACAGCCTTTCAGGTCACTGCCATGACCAGCTCTCCTCTGCTGACTTCCCCAGAAAAGCTGCCTCAATATTATTTGAGTTCAGTTATTTCTGTTTTCACTTTTTCTGTCTCCTCCATGACAGCCACAGAAAGCAGCACGCATTGCATGCACAGAGTCCTATCTACCCTCCTCACTGGGGTTTCTGTTTATCCCAAGATCTTCACAGTTTTGCTTGTAAGAGTTTTGGTTCATTCTTCCAGACCTGGCTTCACTTTGTTTACATGTTTCTCCAGTGTCTGCATACAGTTCTGGTCCCCTTATTTCAGAAAGGGTAAAAGAATGGAAGAAGGTTTGGAGGCAGGCAGTAAGGATGCTCAGAGGTATGGGAACAGACTGCACAGTGAACAACTGTGTAGGCAAGGACTGTTCAGCTTAGAAGAAGGACATAGGATAGAGGAAGAGGCCTACAAAATCTTGACTGTCCCAGAGAGGATGGGGCGGTTTGCTGTGTCTTCTGATACAAACCTGTTAGCTGCTTTTGCCTTGACTGGAGCTTCAAAAGAACATGAAACCACTGTGCTGCAGATGTTATGTCCAAAGGTTTAACGCTGGTTTTAGCCCACACTTCTTGCAACACTGGGGGCTAAGTTCATGGCAAGCCTTTCAGAGACGTGCTTAAGAGAGTGCTGCCTCAGAAACATTTTGTAACCATGTTTTCACGTGGACAGCTTGGCCATGGCCAAGTGGAGCTTTCCCAAACTGTTCAACACAAAAATATTCAGAGCTGGGAGGAGAATGAGCTGGACAAATCCCAGCCCTTCTTCCAGAAAGTTACATGTCACAGGAATCCTCTTGTAGGGGAAAAAGCTTGTGACCGAGACTCTAATTTTGCTGCTGCACTGCCAACCCCATAAGCAGCCTGTGAGGGTGAGTGATGTGGCCTCCTGGGCTGGCTGTCCTGTGCTAGAGAAAAATCCCGGTCCTCTGACTCTGCCCTGGAAAGTAAGGGGAATTGAGATGGTCCTACATTTTCTAGGACCACAAGAGGGCAACATGAGAGCACCCTGCAGCCAGTAGGCTCAGCAAGGGGACCTGTGACACTGCTGGGATGCAGGTGGCATAGGCAGCTCTGTGCAGGCTGAGCATCATCCAGTCCAGGGACTGCCTAGTTGAATTAGCCAATTGAAGGCTGCTCCTTGGGAGCCCTTTCGTTGCTCTCAGCTTCATACACATCCTCAGAGGTGAGTGGTTAGCTCAGCCAGCTGAGCTAGTGCTGTGTTTGGGGCAGCAGTATCTTCTTGCATATGGGTCAGACACATGGTTAACAGCAGACCCTTCTTCATGCTGCTTGTGGCCAAAGCTGTGGGACACAGGATGGTCTCCCTCATCCTGCCTGTACATCCACCAGGAAATCTTTTGGGTGAATGTGCACTGACACGTGGCTTCAGACAGGAGGGTCCAGCATCTGGAGTGATGCTGCTGGGCTTGGCCAGGGGAAGAGGTGTTAAAACACACAGGAGTCTGAACATCTTAGTCTCACCATCTTTTTTCATTTCCTTCTGCCACTGAATGATAAAAAATGAGAGAATCTGAATTCAGCTTTTGTTGTGAATGTGGAATTGGCCAGTGCCTCCAGCCCACACTGGCCTCTGCAAACTGAAATCACCCACAGCCACAGTTAAGTGCACTACCATTCCTGGCATTTTTTTTACAATAGCCTGTATAAATACCTTGCAAGGGACAATTTGCTCTGCCTTTCCAAGAACAGGCATGACAGAGAAACAGCTTCTGTCAGCAGACAGAGCTACAAGAGTGCGTGTGTGATGCTAGGGCTGAAAATGCCACTAGCATCTTATAGCAGAGATGGAGGAGGAGGTGACAGTGAGGGATGAAGTACAGAATATTGCCTATGCAGTAGGGTGGTAGAGGTTGCTCACAAGAGATGAAGAGATGTTTGCAAAAGAGGAGGAGAAAGGGGATATCTGGCGGACACTTTCTGGACAGGCTTGAGACATGGAGAGAGACAGTACAATGGAGGGCTGTATGGGGGAGATTAGGATAACCAGCCAAGCAAAAAGAAATCTCTAGAGCACATTGGAGGGACTGTTTATCCCTCTGGAGTTATTTTCTATGAAGAATGCTAGAAAGGTTTTGCCTGCCTATTTTTACCATGTAAATAACCAGATTTGTTTCTACTCTTGCTTCCACTCCACACCTGCTCAGGCAGCCTAAGCAGCATTTTAAGGCCCAGCCTTTAGTACCCCACCTCACTGAACTATGGATCATGTTTTCCCTAATGCAATTACAACTCACATGGCTTGTGCTGCACCTGCACAACACACTGCCAGCATCAAGCATCCACCTTCCTGTTGCACATTGACAAGACCAAGGTTCAGGGTATTTCTCTCAAAGGAACATCAGATCAACTATGCATCACCAGTTGCCAGACCTCACCTAGTTGCTCCTGTGCTCCAACTAATAGTTTGTGTTGGCTAAAGCAGACCAGAAGGCAGTGAGCCATCTGGTTTGGGTCTGAAGACATAAGGAGATGGGATAATCCTTGGCTTTGACCAGTGTGTATCATTTGAGCCTGTCTGACTACAAATAATCCAAACCAGCTACCAGAAAGTCCCATCTGCACATCAAGACAAATGTGACATTAGCCAGGAGATGACCTTGGACCACCACCTCCCAGTGCTGCATTCTGACTTGTGGTGTTACCAACCAGCAATAGCCCTGCCGTGTGTGGGACAAACTGTATTCAGAGTTGGACACATCACTGATTGCTTTAAAACTGACCTCCTGCTAACTTCAGGGTCTACAGGCAGCAAGCGTCCTTATCTGAGGGAGAAGCATGGCATTTGCACCCAGAGTACCAGTGCCAGGATTCACGTGCCCAGACTGTGAGTGCAGCAACTAAAGACTAGGGACTGGATTAATTCTCCCTGGTATGCTCTAGTGTCTATCTCATGTGGGCTATAGCAACTGAGTCCAGGAATAAAGGGAGCAGAGCTCTCCAATATGGAGTGAGTGCAAGAGAAAAGCTCAGCAGCTACAGACACACTGCCTGGGGAACTGTGGCCCAGGCACATTTTGTTGTGAATGACTTCACGATTTTCTCAGGGATTAAATACTTCCTCGTTTAATAACCTAATAATTTGGGCTAGCTTCATGCTGGACTGTTGGAAAGTTCACTGGCTGGAGTCATCAGCCAGGCCTCATATAAATGGCTTCCCTCAGCTCTCAGCCAAGTGAGCTGTCCTCATCTTTGGGTCCCCCGGCGGGTGGCTCTTGGCACTACCTTCTTCTGAAGGGCTTTGTTGTTCATGCGTGTGCCTGAGGCTTTACGCTCCAGGGGCTTCCTCACCACATCTTGTTTGAGCTGGAAATGCACCTGAAGAAAGAACAAAAATAATCGTGTAACACGGTGCATGCTCTGCTGGCTCAGGGGTCTGCAGGACATGCCTCTGCTGCTAGCCTTCAAAGCTGACTCTTTGGCCAAGACAAGCAATAACAGGCCTTAGCTAGTATTACAATACAATGGGAAGTCAGTTCTTAAATGAGCTGGGAACATTTTATTTTTTTTCCTGTGGAATTGTTGTACCAACAATCAGCTACATTTCTTATGCAGAGTTGCTCCTGTGGCGATATGATGTCCTTATAAGATGAGCTGTGAAAGGCGAGGGACTGAATTGTGATCTTCATCTCTTCTCACAAGAGAGTAGAGAAATAGCATTGCTTTGCATCTCTGTGAATATTTAATACACAGGATGGTTTAAAACAGTCCTTTTTCAATTGCATCTCGTTAGCTGCATCCTGCTTAAGCAGTCTTTCAGCAACCAGTGCTTTCAGTAGATCCAGACAAAAAAAATCCAGGAAAGAAACTGCCATCCACTATAGCCATGCAAGCAGGTACAAGGAGAAGGGGTCAAGAAGCATGCAGGACACAGCATCAGAGAAATGGG